GGCGGGGCTGGGGGCGGCCGGGACGGTGGGCTTGGCGCCGAGGGCCGGGAGTCGGAGCGGCTATCAGTCTGCGGCGGGTCCGTCGCTCCGCTCGGACGCGAGAGCTGAGGGACGCCTGGGGGTCCGGGCGGCTCGGACCGAGGTCGGCGGGCGTGCGGAGGGCCCGGAGCTGTCAGCCGCGGTCCTCGGTCTGGCTCCGGCGGCGAGAGCTGCGCGGAGACCACTCACGTGGGCCGCCGGAAACGGGCGGGGAGAGCAGGTTTCAAACCTCGGGGCCGCGGGGCACCGCGGAGGGCAAGCGGCCAAGCGGGCTGGACCCGGGGTACAGCTGAGCGCCAGCCGGAGAGGAATTAAAGGGGTTTCCGGGAGACGGGCGAACCCCAGAACATCTCCAGACTGGAAGGGAATTTAAAGTCATCTAGGGCTCCTTTCTCCCATCGCATACCAGAGTCCCTTTGAAAATCCCCAAATCCACCCTAATCATTTGAACTAACCTGTTTGAACACCTCCTCCAGTCATGGGAAACCCATTTCTCCCCAAGGAAAGCCGTTCTGTTCCTGACGGCTTTGGTTTTTAGAAATATCTTTTGGTTCAAAGAAACCGCTGCCTCCCATTCTTTCTAGTTCCTTTCCCTTGTGGACAGCTGTTGAGGTATCTGAAGATAGTAATCATGTCCCCAGAGTCTTGTCTTCTCTTCACTAATTCCAGTTCCTTCAGTTGTTTCTTACATGCCGAGGTTCTCCGATCCCTTCTCTGAATGAGCTTGACCGTATCCTATTTAAAGGAGAGCTACTTAATGTGTGTGAGGAGACAAAACCTATTAAGTTTCTCCAAGAAGTTCCTTGGTTCCAAGATTGACCTGCTTAAATAAAAAGTATCCCCTTCCTAATTTCTGTGCTGTATTTTGAACTTTTTTTTTTTTTAAGTCCAATATGTTAAAACGAACTGAAAGAGATCCTGTTTGTGAAGATGTTTGGGTTTCCCCTCGTTTTTAAATAAATGTCTAGGGCGCCTGGGTGGCACAGTTGGTTAAGCGACTGCTTTCGGCTCAGGTCATGATCCTGGAGTCCCGGGATCGAGTCCCGCGTCGGGCTCCCTGCTCGGCAGGGAGTCTGCTTCTCCCTCTCCCACTCCCCGTTTGTGTTCCCTCTCTCGCTGTGTCTTTCTCTGTCAAATAAATAAATAAAAAATCTTTAAAAAAAAAAAATAAAATAAATGTCTATAAACACTTTATCAGATGAGCTGATGTATATCAAAGTATAGCAATGCACCATAAGAATAGAGATTATTTTTACTCTGAAAAAGGATTGAGACTCAGTTTGGGGCCAGACTGCAATTTAATATTTAGTTGGAGAGGGACATGCTTGTTACATTGAACTCTTTGCTCTGTTTCTAACTGCCAGCAGAAGACCCAAAATTACTATGAAAAAGAACAGTTTCTGTTGCTCACTTACTAGCATTTTTTTTTATTTTTTGCTTTTTCATCATTTAGCCTTGGTATGTGAGGGTTAAGTTTTTAAAAAGTGTCTTTTACCAACATCCTAAACTATCCTAAGCAACCCTGCAGGTTAGTAATTTTTAAGCCCAGCAGAGATGTGATGGCCTTGTAGATAAAATGCCAAACTCTTGTATCTGGGACCCTGTTCAAATTCTAAGCAAAGTTTCACTGTCTTTGTAACATAGGCAAGCACATACCAGCAGTCAGAATTGGTTCTTTATCTTTGTTCTTGTGTCTTTATTTTTTAAATTGGTCAGTGGTTTTGAAGTTTGCAGCACACATGTCAAGTTTTGATTTCTGGTTTGTTTGTGCAAATGCTATTTCCCTTTTACGTAAGTTGGGTAAAAATTTGTATAGAACCATTCTGTACAGAACTATGCAGGCTCAGGAAAGGCTCTGGTTCCTTCCCTTCAAAGAACTTGAAGTTAATGGTTGGAAATACTGAAAACTCTGTGAGAAAGAACTGGTGTGAATATACCACTACAAATTTAAACTCAACATGTCCTAAACTTTACTCCTATCCATCTACTTTGTGTCAGGAACTATGCTTATGTACTGTGTTTAGCTGGGTATACAAAGATGAATAAGATATATTTTCAATCCTTGTGGAGCTGGTAATTTAAATGCCCAGGGGCACCTGGGTGGCTCAGTCGTTAAGCGTCTGCCTTCGGCTCCGGTCATGATCCCAGGGTGCTGGGATCGAGTCCCACATCGGGCTCCCTCCTCGAGGGGAAGCCTGCTTCTCCCTCTCCCACTCCTGCTGCTTGTTCCTGCTTTCGCTGTCTCTGTCTCTGTCAGATAAATAAATAAAATCTTAAAAAAAAAAAAAAATTAAATGCCCAAATAGGTCATCTCAGAATAAAAGGTGAGAGGGATGCATTTGATGCTGTGGTTGCCCCAAGGTCGGGGCGTTTAGACTAGCGTGGGCCTTGAGGGAAGGCTTTGGGAAGAGGTGACACCTGACTCATATAATAAATGGTAAGAAGACAGTCATGCAGAGAAGAGTAAAAAGTGTGCTTCGAACAGAGAAAACAGCTCAAGGAAAGGCATCAATGTGAGAGAAGGAATGGCTTGCATAAAAAACCACAAGTGGGGGACACCTGGGTGGCTCAGTTGGTTAAGTGTCTGCCTTCAGCTCAGGTCATGATTCCAGGGTCCTGGGATCGAGTCCCACATCGGGCTCCCTGCTCAGCCAGGAGCCTGCTTCTCCCTCTGCCTGCTGCTGTCTCTCTTTCTCCCTGACAATAAATAAAGTCTTAAAAAAAAAAGAAAAGAAAAGAAAACCACAAGCGGTTTGAAACTGCTAAGAATATAACAAGAAAGACCTGGGTGGGCACCTGGGTGGCTCAGTCGGTTAAGCATCTACTTTCGGCTCAGGTCATGATCCCAGGGTCTTGGAATCAAGTCCCACATTGGGCTCTCTGCTCAGTGGGGAGTCTGCTTCTCCTTCTCACTCTCCCTCTGTCTTCTCCCTCCCTCTCTCTCTCTCTGTCAAATAAATAAAATCTTTTTTAAAAAAGACATAAATGGTAAGCTGTAAGGCTGCAAATACAGGCAGAGACCATATCATAGTAGACCTTGTCCTTGTATGCATAGGTATCTTGAAATTAATTCAGTGGGTGATTTTTTTAATCACTGAAAAGTTTTTATCAGACATGGGTAGAATACATTTTTTTTAAAGATTTATTTATTTATTTGAGAGAGCGAGAATGAGAGAGAGAGAGAGAGTACATGAGAGGGGGGAGGGTTAGAAGGAGAAGCAGGCTCCTCGCCGAGCAGGGAGCCCGATGCGGGACTCGATCCAGGGACTCCAGGATCATGACCTGAGCCAAAGGCAGTCGCTTAACCAACTGAGCCACTCAGGCGCCCTGGTAGAATACATTTTTAAAATGTGGTCATAGGGATGAGAAGAAAGGGATGAAGTTTCGAGAATCTGTGAGGCTTTATGATTGATTGGATGTGTAGATGAAAGGGGCCAGGAGTCCAGCATGATGCTCAGAGTTTTGGTTTGGGTGACTAGGGGGATGGTGGTGACATTAACTGAGACAGGAAACACTGGATGACGAATTCAGTTTTGGACTTGAAGATTTTTCAGTAGCTTGAGTTAAATCAGTGAACAAATGTAGTGGAAGTAAGCTAGAAAAAAGGGAGGTTGTGGTCAGAAAGTGGAATATTGGAGTTAACTTGTGTGGTATGGAGCTCTTCTAGGTGACAGCTAGGTCTCTGTGTGTGGGTAGCTGAGGTACAGCAGAGGTGAAGGTCCGTGAAGCTGAGTATGACAGGAACTGCGAGGTTGTTGTATTGAATGGGTCATCTGTGTGGCTAGGGAAGTGATTTAGGATGCTAGGGTGTGGGGAAGAGGATGATTGTGACCCAGGTGCAGTGAGTGGAGGGGATTAATCAAGAGGGTGGCAGATGACAGATGAAGAGGAGGGGTAGAGAGTGATGCAGCCAGATGGTGGACACCTCAAAGGAGGAGGAATTTTTAAACGGAAGAGTGGAAAAGTAGTGGTTTTTTTTACTTTTCCTTCTTGGGAGCAGGGTTCTGATCTCTTCGTCTTTATTCAGGACTCATATTAATCACTTTTGGCTCTGAAGAGTCTGTTCT